ACAAACTTAAGGACAGGTCTAAATATTGTCTAGTGCACAGTTTAACACATTAAATACCTAAAGAATTTAAATTTCATGGTAATAAAATGATTCTAGTATTGTAAGTATCAGTGTACAAAGTAAATATTTTCTTTCTTACCTGTAATAGTTAATCCTTTAGGCGTTTGTTTTTCAGAGTGAAATTTATTTAATTTTGATAAAATTGGAGATGGTTGAACAAGAAAATCACGGAGACATTGAATGCAGGTACTAGCTATACTTGGAAATTTCTCAGATAATTTACCTAAGCCCTGGAAACAATATATTTACAAGATTATAAGTATATATTATAAATTTTACTTAAGTTTATTTAAACTGAATTTGTTTGCATATTTTAACTAAATTTATTAAATGTATTATTAAGTATAATCAAATTACAAATAAAATATGAATACCTCACCTCCATACAAACTAAGATCAATGGCATATGTGCTAATGCCTGTTTTACATTATTACTTGAGTTAATTTTTTCCATTAAACGACCACATAAATTATCAGCACCTAGAAATTAGTGATACATATTTTTAAAAATCTCAAACAATAATTTGTACATTCAAATTTAAAATTAAACTTTTATTAGATAAAATAAGTAAATAATTTAATAACTAACTGAAGTAATCAGTAGATATAATCACCTAAGTTATTTGGAATAAAAAACATGTTTTTAAAAGATAGATTCTAAATAATGGAAAATATTTGGGTAATAACTAATAATATATTAATTTATATATATTTCATATAATTTATTAAAATTAATATCTATTGATAACTTAAAAAAAAAAAGTTTAAAAATTTAAAAAACTTACCAGATTCATCCCTTGTAGCCCAAACCAATAAATCTACACAAGCTGCATTAGCTAAAACATTTATTTTAAATTTATTTATTGTAGTTAAATGTGATTCTTTGTCTTCACGTTCAGATGAATCTTGTAATACACCAGACTGTAATTCAGTTTGGCCATTTAAGAACAGATCTTTTATAAACTCTTGGACGTCTTTTGTAAATGGTAATGGTAAATCTAGAACAAAAATTTAAGCTATATTTTGGAAATATACAATAAAATAATAAATTTTTAATATAATTTTACCTTGTTGATATTGAAGTAATTCTCTTAATAATGAAGCAATAACTAAGTTTAATATTTCACTGAAACTTCGATAACAAAATGTTTTACTTTCACCAGATATATGAAATTCAAGAGCTAAACTATCCACAAATCCCAAAACATCAGAGGTAAGAATTTTTTTTGCAATCGATAAAACAGTCTATAAACAATTTTTGATTATGATGACAATAATAACAATTTTATTATAATTAATATTAGCTTACTTGTAGATGACCTAAGGGAAATATTAACGTTGATGATTTATGATCAATAGATGAGTCAGTGAATCTTGTATAAGGAAATTGGTTAAAACTTGATCCGTACTTAAAGAAAAAGTAATTTGACATATTGTTTGGTGCTTGGGAACCCAGTTTGCATTCTGATTTGTATATCATTCTATTACTATATACAAAAAATAAATAATTCACAAACTTAAAAAGTTCTGATACATGTAAATAGGGAATTATTTACTTGAGATCATTCATTGGATCCAGTGAGCTTAATGTCATAACGTCTAGTGAAGCTAAATTTAAATTTAGAGATAAAGATCGAGGAATGATAGAGCTGAAATAAAAAACTTATTGTAATATATTTTAATCAAATTAAATAGATTAAAACAAAAATATTACCGAAAGTTTGAGAAACTTTTCTTTTTAGGTAAGTTTAAATCAGGAATAGGGACTGGAGTTTGTTGAATAGGAGCACTAGGTTTTGGAAATAAACGACATAAAAGTGGAGGGTCACTCAAAGTTGCTCTTCCCATTGATCTGGCCAAGCCGATAAAACATGGAATGGTAGCTTTACACAATGTTGCTAAAAATTATAATATTTATTAAATTTTATTAAAATTATAAATTAATATATTATTATAATATATCTAACAAAAACATACTTTTAGTTATATCATTTAGCTTGTCAGACTTAGCAGATCGAATAATATTGGACAGTTTACTAAGACATTTAATTTGGGCTTCAATTATTTTTTCTCTAGAAACTGGATAACGAGTTGCAATATCTGTTAATAATGTATTAAGACAAAAACTCATTCTTTCAGCAACCGGTATTCCTACAAATAACAAAATTAAATTAAAAATGTTTGAAAAAAAAAACATAATTTATCAACTATAAAAGAACTTACTCTCTCTAGGAAAGTACTTGATCTCGTCTACCCACTGCATTTTCCCTAAACCATTCAACAACTTTAATAAGTAAGGTAGTATGTGATCGACGTGCTGAAAGTTTGACTCGAGGAGATATATTCCCAACGCTATAATAGAATCTTGGCCTCTTTGATCCATCTTGAAAACTCCTTGATGACCTTCTTGTGGACATAATGAATATAATGTTTGAATCTATCAAAAATAATACAATTTTCCCAAAAATTAATAGATAGTCTATAATATTAAGTTTTTCAAAATAATTATGTACAATGAATTTACTTTTTCCCACGGTATTTCCTTTTGAGAAGCCAAAGATCGAGCCAAATGATGGATAGTTTTTTGGAAGAAATTTTTTTCATCAGTAGCCATTATGTGCAAATTTATACACAATACTGTTTTTTTTATTTAAAAATATAACTTGTCCACATCAGTTAAATGTATAATTATTAATTAATGAATCGACAAATATCCATCATACTAAATAATGTTAGAGTATGGACAAATTAAAATTTTAATGTATGTAATCATTTAAGTTGACGACCTCGTCAAAATGTAAACATAAAGTTATAAGGCTCCCGAGTGGCCAAGTATTGAGTAATAGGTATTACTGGTATTAGTTAATAAGTAGAATAATTTATCGTTTTGTATTTTACATTTTACAACTCCATTATCGCGATTCGCAACCAAAAAGTCAATAAAGATATAAAATGATAATTTATCTTATCATAATAGAAGATAACAACAAAACCATGGTTGTTATATATTATTCTGTGATAATTATCAAGTCATATCCATTGAACTATATGATAACTGGAACGCTCACCATGCAGTGTTGCCCGAGCGAGCGTGTTAAAAAGAGATAGCGAATACTATAGGTGTGTCTATCCTTGTTTAACATACCGCGTAAATGTATAATTTTATTTTATATTACTATGTGCCTAGTAATAATTAATTGTACTTATATATTTATGCAGCTTAAAGCTTAAATCATAATTATTGAATTACGAGATAGTTTTATATAATATAAATATTGAATATACATATAAATTTTGAATAATTAGCAATTAAATCTTGCCTACATTCAGAAATTAAACTGTCAGCTTAATTGACAAAAAACTATAACAGTTAAAAATAATATGAAATGTAGTATTTAATAATACTATAAAAATCTAGGGAAAAGGGAACTATTTTTCCAATCCAAGTTCAGATTTACTTATGTACAATGTTAAGGTTCTCTAAAATCATAATAGAAAAATTATTTTTTATTTATTTATTATATTTTTGTTTTTTAAATATTGACAAAGTTAGGCATTAATTGGTTAGTTTTAATACATGATAACTTTTTAACTTGACAGTTATATAATAATTATTATATTACTTACATAATAATATTGTGTACAATATGTATATAATAATGTATTATATTATATACATATAATAATAAATAATAGATATAATTGGTTTTCGAAAAAAAAGCAATGTACCAACTAAATTCATTATTCGTTATTTTATTATGATTTACATAATTAAATATAATCATTACATTTATCTATGTACACTTCTTTTTTCTTTAAAATATTTAAAAGTATAGCTGCAATCTGCATTTAACTTTGTCGATAATTATCATTTGTCATTTGTACCTACATAATTCAAAAAATGTTTAAGGTAAAAATTTAAAATAATTATCCAGTGTTTGGAAGCCACCTTCGAGTTGGTTGAGTGAAAATTGTTTCACTGGATATTAGGTCAGAAGTAATAATTGAGTGTCCAAAGATTGGATTATTATTTACATTTGAACAAACAAGTTTTTAAACTATAACTTGTATCTTAATCCTGGTAATTTTCCTGTAATATAATAAACAATTTAAATTAATAAAACTTTATAAAATAATTATACAATAAATAGTAACATATTTATATTATATCTTAGTTAAAAAACGAACACTCAAAGTTATTGATTGTATATTGATATATATATATATTTAATTATTAATGAAGTAGAAATATAAAACAACTGTTACAGTAATTATTTACATAATATTATATTATACAAAAAAGCATTAAACATGGTTAAATAAAATTAGTTTTGTTAACTTATGTCTTAGAGCTGACTTTGAACCCTGGTTATTTTGTGTCATCTGTTTACACTGTGTATAAACTCTTAAGGTACAATAATACGAAGATGTAAATTTAATAATTTTCATTTCATGTGATTCTAAAGAATAGGTGTCAATAATTGGATGTTCAGGCTTTAAATTTCTTATTTTAGATATAAAATGTCGTTGAACTTTTAATACAATCTCTTTTTTAAAATTGTGGTCCAAAAACTATAAAAAAAAAAAAACAGGACTCAAAGCTAAATAATTTTAAGGTGCCGGTAAGCATTTAAAATTTAAAAGTATATACGATATTATTATGATACGGCGTATTATCAATAAAGACAGAGATAGACACACCTATATTATTTGCTATCTCTTTCTAACAGACCCGCTCGGTTTCATTTACATTAGTCATATGGGCTGTGAGCGTTCCAGTTATCATATAGTTCAATGGTCATATCGTACTCTATGGTCTATATCTTTGACTTACCAGCAGCTGCTATCATATTCTACATATACATTATATTCTTATCATTTCATCATATGTCTTTGTCATAATTTTTGTATTCTGATTTCTGACCAAATAAAGAAAAATCTTATTTATTATTCGATTTAACAACAATAATGTTATTCTTATTATCAGGTTTCAGAAGTTAAACGGTTGATTTAGTTGATTACTCGATTATAAAAAATTATAAAACAAAGACACTATTTATATTAATACATATTACATATTAATATATAACACACAATGAGTTTAAGCATCAAATCTAAGATGATTGTATTTGCTCTTAATTCGTTAATATTTGTTACCTCTGTTGTATCATACTATGGGTTTAAAGGCAGTCAAGATTCAACACATTACTTGACAATTCATTCAGGAAACATTAATCTTCAAGTAAAGAATGAAGGTTATCACAGGTAGGGATCAACAATTTAGTGCATTATAATTAAAATTTGCAATGAAATTTAATACGTAATTATCTTTAAATTTTTTCTCTTTAACTGTTTCTGATTTCAGAGTTCTCCATACAACCATCACAGCCGATTATGAAACATCAAATCGTAAAGACTGTGCAGTTACATTACGCTATGATTTTCCAGCTGATATCTATGTAGACAAATATGAGCTGGCTACCATTGCCTTGAATCGCAAAGTAAGTATTCACTTAACATTTTTTTAACAGTATGCTAACATTACTTTTGTTTCTTCAGGTGGAATTTTATGTTGACAACAAATTTATTGATGTAGAAACACCAGCTCATAAATCTGATCCATTTGTTCTCTATGTTGTTAATTACACACTTCCAGACACAGCAAATAAATTGACAGAAATGGAATTCCCCATTCATTTAAGATACCAAAAAGCTGCTGAAGATAGTCGTTACAAAGAGGTTCGATTTGGTGATGCTTATTCAGATGTCCAAATGTTATACTTATGTAAAGGATCAAAAAATTCTAATTGGAAAAAATTTCCACTTAATTCTGGTGAATGGATTCCTGTAAGTATTCAAATAATTTATAATTTAATATAAATTAAATTATATAAAAAAATTTCTATCAATATAGAAAAATGTATTGAGTGAATAGGATAAGGGATTATTAAATCTAAATTTATTATAAATTAGTTAGAACAGAATTTTATACTATTTAATAAGTAATAATTTTAGTACTAGTTTTTTATAGCCCTGCCGCGGCAAGTGAAAACTTTTTGTAGCCCCGCCACTCATTTGTTATCCTTCCATAATAATAAATTCATCGTACAATTAATCTAATAATTGAATAGAAAAAACATATCATTACTATAATTTATAAAGTGCTTATTACAGATATTTATTATATAATATGGATCAATTTAATTTATATTATCAATCAACCATCACAGTATGTATTTGTCTGTCGTTTTAGAATCACGGAAAGTGTAAACATTTTTATATATTTTGTAACAATGTATCGTCGAATTATTTGATAAATGAATATCAATAAATGAGCTCATTATTTTATATTTTTGTGATGCATTTATTGTTATATGGATGGTTAGGCGATAATAAACTGGCGGAGCTACAAAGTTTTCACTCGTTATGGCAGGGTTATGACAAACCTATACCATAATTTTTAACTCCTATATTTAAATTATGCATACAGAAACAACTTTAATTAGGTTATATTTATTTAGCTTTGTATGGTGGAGTGGATTTACACATTTCCAACCAGTACTGATATTTAACCATTATTAATGCTTTGACTTTAGGTGAAAAACAAAATTAATGAAACAAATAAATACTCTATGCGTGTTCACAATAACACCTTATCTACTGGATATCAATATACACTTGTTTATTATTCTATATAATATATACATATATTATTTTATGTTTTAGGCCAGTTATGTAAAAGTTAACAAAGATGTGGTAATGTATGTACCAGTTGGTAATACCAATAATTTTCCATTGGTGAGTATCATTACACATGGTTTTGTATTGTTGGGCACATATTACATTCTACGTCGTTTAATGGTTACTCCGTCACTAGATAATTTTTTTATCAAAATTTCACCTATTGAATATTAAACTAATCATAAAAATACTGGCTGTAAGCTCATTAGCAAGAAAATATTTAAAAAGACTTCTTTTTAATACTACCTATTTATTGTATGTTATTTATGTTTAAACTAGTTTATGTATTTTAAATTCCTTCAGATTTATAAAATTGTGTTATAAATTGATTGCTTGCATTACACATTTTTTAGATTTTTGATTGTTTTGGTTAAATTTTATGTTAAAATCAGAAATAATTTTTAAAAAAAAACATATAATACATAATGTTTTATTATAATAGTCAATTTAAATTTAGTCAAAACAAATTATGTTATAATTATATTTTTTTTATATACAATAAGTTCCTATAATTTAATTTTATTCCAACCTAATTTAATATTATTTATATTGAGTTTTTTTGACTTATTGACTTTTACTTTAAATAAATACCTTTGAATTACTTTGTTGTATTTATTTAAAAACTTTATCTGTCTGATAATAGCTGCTTGAATTTAATATCATAAATAGAATAATGATAATAAAGCAATGACCAGAAAATATTTTAGAAAGGTTTGTGTTAAATATAGACAACCTGTACTATATACATTAACACATATATGTAGAACATGTTGATCTAGTGCCAAAATGGATTATTGGCCCGGGTTGAGTGTATATGCATTTACCGGTACTTAAAATGTATATACATTTACACGTTGAATATGGACTTGCAAAATGAAGAAAATAATAAAATACTTATTAAACATCAAAGTCTGTACAAACTATAAATGTATAATATTATATAAGTGTAAATATTGTATTCTTGATTATTTTTTAGAAATAAAATTAGCAAGGACTGGAAGAATCAATGTTATGTACAAAGGGGATTGGAATAATTTACCAGATTTGTTGCTTGAAAATATCTTTTCTTTTCTGGACATTGGAGCAAAACATAACGCTTCAAAAACATGCAAATTGTGGTATTCAGTTTTTCATTTGCCATATTCATGGCATACGTTTGTTTTTGATGACACGACCCTTACGCGAAGAAAGTTTAACTATTATTCAGGATGGCAGGTACGCATACCTATCTGTTTAGTACATTATGCAACTTATTATATATCTATAAGATATAATTTATATTAAACAAGTAGATAAAGTTATACCATAAAGACTAAAGAAATGTATATACATATCTTTAAGTGGTAAGTTGACAACATTTAGTAAGTACTTTCACATAAGTATATTCATAATTTTAGTCAGGAGAGTATATAATAACAAATAAAAATAAATTTTAAATGTTTATGCATTTACAATATATAACTATTGTCATGCCTAATTAGAAGTAAATTTGTATTTGTTAAAATATGATATGATATAATTATGCCAGACACTTAATTTTTAATTTATTGTTACAACCATAACTAAAAACTTTTTCCTTCCTATTATTGCTTTGTAAATTAGATAATGTCTCTTAATTAATTTCCCTAAAAAGCATAAAAAAATAAGTATCAGAACTTCTATATATATGTATAAAAGGTTTTGACTTTTGAATGTACTTTGATCATTGAGTAAATTACTTTAGGTCACTGTAAAAATGTATTTAATTAGAAATCAATGATAAGTTGTTATATATGTTAAGGTGTATGACGGCAGTAGGCGAATGTTGATGTCACCGGTATAGGTTGATATATATCAAAAACCGTAGTGAATGTTGACGAAATTGTCTTAATGCGTTCATACACTGGTAATTGTTGACATTTACAGTCAGTGTTTGGTAAATGTTGACCACACTTGAAGCACAATGTATGTAAAATGTATATTTGTATTATTTTGTAAAATAAATTGATATTGTTAAACGACGTTTTATCCGATAAGACAATGTCTTTGAGACAGGTATCGACAGCTGCTTCCAAAAGTGGTGGCCAAGGTTATATACGATGCAATTGTAAAAAAAAATGTAATTGTAAGAATGGGGGAATACTTTGTAACAGTAAATGCCACGATAGTTTACCGTGTTGTAATAAATAAAACTTAATAAAGTATATGCTACCCAAACTTAAATATTAAAAAATTAATTTGTTCAACTATATTTATTTATGAATTTATTAGCTATCTATTTGATTATATATGTTATCATTGTCACACATATCAGCATTCACTAAATAACTATTGCGTATGTCAACAAATACTTGTAAATGTCCGCATTGTGAGATATTTGAAATAATTGATAACATTCACCAAAATGATTAATGACTGTCAACATTTACTGTCATGCGGTCATACACGCATACACCTTAACATATACATACAAAAAACTCAGCAGATTCAGTATGCCAGACTTTAATAACATTTTACAATTCATTTATATTATTGTTACTAATTTATACTTCAATAATTGAAATTATTGGTAATGACTATAAAATGGTATCAATAGGTTTGTGGTATACAGGGGCGTATTTAAGGGTGGGGCCCATAGCCCATAGGGCCCGTGCCCCCCCCCATCATCTATATTTTATATCTTTTTTTTTATATTTTTTAGTATTAGCCTCTACGTTATCTGATTATTTGGTTATGAATAATATGAATGATCATACTATTTATTGAGATGAAAAATATGAGATATTTCATATCTCTAACGCCCCATTACGCTAATTTGAATTTTGAACTTTTTGTTTGTGCCCTTCCCATAAGACATTTTTAAATACGCCTCTGGTGGTATATATAGCTATTTTAAAAATATCATAAAAACCTTTATCGATAATAATAATAGTAGAATGTTACAAGTTTCTACAAATATCTAATATTTTTTTAATTATCTACAATGAAAAAACTAAAATCGTTATTTTTCAATTGATATCCAGTTCTGTTAAAATATGAACTTCAAATGCTTTTAAAACAAATTTGTTTAACTTATAAAATATGTGAATATTATTTACTTTCACATACTGTGTGTCTGTGTATATCTGAAAAGTTCCCGAACTAAATTTATTTATGAAATATAAATAGCGTTACCTATCTATCTAGTATCTACAACCAATGTATCATTTAGTACAGTCTAACGAGTATGTGTACAAAGTAATAAGTATCAGCCCGTATGTTTTTTAAGTTTGTTTAGTCTTAAAGTATATTTGGCTGTGACGCTGTGTATAGTATGTTTGAAATACCTTGTACGAACTTGAGACACAGAACAAAGAAATTTAATACAATCTTGTGTTCGACTTCAATAATCATTTATTGCAGAACTTATTCAATGATACAACAAGCATTTGGCAATAGAACTACATCTAGTACTACGACGACGTATACATGACAAAAATATTTTACAGACAATCGAAAATCAAATCAAAAATTAAAATAATTTTGATGATATTTTTCGATTCGAAAGATCTGATTCACCGAGAATTTGTTCCAATAGAACAACGGTGAAAGCCAAGTTTCACTTGGAAGTGATAAAGCGCCCGTTGCATCGTATTCCTCAAATCCTACCCAAATAGCGCAATCTGAACAGTTGGACTCTTGCATAATAATATTCCAACTTTCACAGTAACATTTAACGCGTTTTAACGCTAAAAATCAGATCACCATTCTATTTAATCTGCTTTAATCACCCGATTTGAATCCTGCAGATTATTTTTTTTATTTGCAGAGCTCAAATTGGAAATGAAAGGTCAAATTTTTGACGACATTCCGATCATCCAAAGAGTTGGTTCTAAGTAGAAAAGCAATTCCACAAGTTCTCCAGAGCGCTTGCACAGCTTTACCGGCGCTGTAACGAGTGTGTAATTAGACAAGGACTCTACGTAAAGTGTTGATGCGAATAAATTCGTTTATTCTGTATTTTTATTTAATAATTTGGTTCAGGAACTTTCAGATATACTATGAATGTGTTTACTATATTTTTAAATACTGTTGTGAGAAAAACTTATAAAAAACCAAGTATTACATTTTTATACTTTTTGACCGAAAAAATAAAATGTATGAACATATATAATCTACCATTTGGCAATTAGATCAATTATTCTTCATGTCATTGTAAAATCTATACCTACATTTCTAGGACTGCATGAGCTCTAAAATTTCATGCTGTGAGTAGTAAATCATTGAAATCGACTTATCCTTTAAAAAATTAAAATACAATATTTTTATTAATTTATGTAACAATCTATTATAAATACCTATACAATACATGAAAATATCCGCGAATAAGTGTAAATTTACAGATATATTTTGGTGGAGTGATGGGTGTATGTTTACCTATCTATAACGCCGTACTATGCTGATTATACGATTAAATGTAATAAAAACAAATTTATTTTACGAATTATGTTTTTACTAGTTTCTTCATATTTATTATTGATGCGTATGCTTAGGTACTAATTTCATCGAATTTTTCATGTTCCAGTCATTAAAGAAGTTGGTCAAGACATAACAATAAAATGAAATGTATTTTAATGATATAATATATCTAATGGCATTATAGATAGGTAGGTACAACTTTCTAATAGCAATCAAGTATTCAAGTACCTTTAAAAACTCAAATATATTTATGAAAAATGTAATTGTGTTAATGCGATTTTTCTTCGTACATACTAGATATTCAGTTAAATATTCATTCATCCACAGAAAATATAATAAATAGATTTTTTTTAAGTACTGATTTAATTATTCAAAAATGTTTTTAACACCTACAAATGAATAATGATTCTTATGCAAATTAAGTACCTATCAAATACCTAGCCGTTTTGATATTATATTTTTATTTGTTGTTATTATACAGTACATGTTAGATCATCTACGAGTACAATTGTGCCTTCAGTCCATTGGTCGTTACATTAAAGTTTTGGTATTCAAACCGATTACTAATTTTTATAACCTGTACGAATTCATGAACATGATATCATTCTACGCTGAACACGGCCAAGGAATAGGATCAAGAATAAGCACCTTACAGTACACATTCCCGTGCAACATGGCAACGTCGCGTATCGACGAATCGGTTTTGTATGGAACAGGAGGTCTGTATTCGCTGTTAATTGTCTTCATAAGTTAAATTATTGTTATTCAACACTATAAGTGTATTAGTTCCGGTCTTCACGATATTTAGTTTTATTTAGGTAAGCTTTTGGAAGCGCTTAAGAGATTGATGGGTAATTTGCCGTCACTCGAAAGATTGGAATTGATAGATTTGATGTTGGAAAACGAAGACGCGCAGACGTTATTAGACCAAGTGTGTTTCTACTGTTGTACCACGTTGAAAACCTTGGTATTGGTGAATACTACTAAATACTTATGCCAATTGCTCCATCCCGGAGTTTTCATTAACTTACAGGTATAAATTACAGCAGGTTGAAAACACTAAGTATTCTTAAAAATCTTTATTCCACATATAGTGACATCCAGTAATATTGTTATAACTTATGAAGTTTAGTTTAGCTTACTAGATACCTACAAGCTACTACCAATGAAATATTGTGTAATTTATAAATGTTTATAGGTGTTGGTGATTAGTCCTCAGAATTTAGGAAGCGATTTGTTGTTGATGTTGGGTCAAATCAGACTCAGTCACTTGCACATACTCCAAAACCGTTATACGCCCATCGACATCGAACCCATGAACTCATTCGACTGGAAACATTGTGTGAAGACAAACGCAACATTAAAAGTACATCTCAGGGTGGAATCTATCCGAGAAAGACAGATTTTATGGCAACCTAATTCACCTGTAACAAGTATAATTTTTAAATCACCAAACATGCAGGTTAGCAATACAAAGTATACACATAGAGTATTATAGACATTATATTATGATATATCATGTGTAAATTAATAATTATAACCCATATAATATATATACGTTAAAAATATTCACTTGAAATTAAACATGTATATAGATGACCGCTGAAATTTTAAATAAAACAATTGAAATGTACTCTGATCGATTGCGGACGTTTGGGTATCTGGAACTTCCAAAATTCTACCAACCATCGTCATTCAAAGAGCGAATTGATACGACCTTAGTAAACTTAATCCAGTTTTGTCCTAAGCTGGATACATTAGTGAGTTTATTTTCTTGAAAAATATTAATTTTTCACACTATTCTTTTATAATTTGATTTTACTCGTAGATGATTAGAGAAAAAATATCTACGTGCACATTGTTATTGATTTCATACTATGGTCATTCATTAAAATTTTTACACGTTCGTCGCAATGCCGTAATATTACGATGTGATTGGCCACGTCAAAATGATTGGTCAGATGAGTTTTATCAATGGTTGAAAAAGTCCAGCACATCGTACAAAATAGTAGAAGAAGAAATTGCGTTATCTTTAGGTTTGAACAATTGGACTATGCTTAGTGATCGAGATTTTAAACGTATATCTCCGCAACTTTATTCATCGTATTACAAATAAATAAAATATACCTAAAAACTATATCTATATTTTGACTTAAAAATTATTTTATTTTTTATGAAATAAAAACTAATGAAAGCTAAAAAATATTAAGATTGTATAATGTATATGAAATGTATTGGTTATAATAACCTGTTAATGTAAAAAAAAAAAATTATTTTTTTTATAATTTGCTGAAAAAAATACAGGCTCTTATAATAATATAATATTGTTTTAATCCTTATTTACATTAGTAAACTAAAATTATATTAGCCTCTAGGACTAATCAAATTTATTCATGTCTTTATACCTTTAAATCTACTTTGTATAATTGTATACTTAATAAAATATGTTAATATATTATGAAAAGCTAGATACGTTAATAATGATGATAAACATATTAATTTATATTATTATTGTTTAATTAGAATTTACTAATATATTTATTGGTAAAATTACGTCTTATAATGCTAAATGAAGTAGATACATTTAAAAATTGTTTATTCTGTTCATTGAATATTTAAAAATATATACTTGTATTTGATGTTCATCAGCATAAATATTATGATATTATTATGATATTATACCCTATTATCTGTTTATATATATAATAGTAAATAAATCTATTGCCTAACATGATAAATCGGTTTTATTTTAACTGGTGCTTTAAAGCTGTTGTGTTAAAGAACGTCTATTAAAATCTAATATATAGTAGATGTTTAATAATTCTAAAATAATTATTGGCTCAAATCTATAGGAATTAGATCTATTAAATGTTTTTTATTAAAATAGGTAAACATTTTAATAGAGCTTAACTTGAAGGAATGTGATCCGTTTTTATATTTTATTAACGTTTCAAAAAACCAAAAACCTAATCATCCGTAATTTATTCAATTTTTATTAACTATTTCTTTTTTTTTATTGGCTTTTAAAAATAGCTATTTTGAAAATTATTAACAATTTAAGAGATGGATAAAATGTTGGGCAGCTGTTACAAAAATGCATTAAAATTAAAATTTTCTATAAAATTTGCTATTTGTTAAAATGTCTATCCAGTTGCTAAAATAAACATGATACAAAATTTTCAAGTACTTAATCCTATTAAAGTCATAAAGATATTATAAGCTTGTTTTAATGATTTATTAATAATATTACGAGTATATAAGAAAACGAATTATTATGATATATCTGTCATGTATACATTTCGTGCTCAATGACATTAGCATAACGGTTATTAACTTATCAATGGTTTAATAGTACTTAATATAATCTATCACTAACAAATCACTAACATATCATGCTTAAAAAAAAAATTACTCTGATCTTTGACGCTAAACTAGTGATATTTGTATTGTTAGTAATAATGTTTACTGTTAATACAATTCCTAAAAAATTAAAGAATGGTTTTAAAATTTCGATTCTTTTAATTTTTGTACAACAATAATAACTTCCTAGTTATATTGATAAATAATAATTTTATATCCTATGTATAAAATATAAATCTAGCATTCTGCTATAATAACGCATACCCAAGTTAGAAAATACACTGGGAAAGTTATATTATTTGATATGATAAAGTCATGTAGTGAAACTATACAAACTGAGATGAGACATTATAGCGACATATAATACGTTCTAATAATTTAGATTTGATGGTTTTGGGTTCAAGGGTTTTCAAAATATATTTAAAATAATATATTTAGGTTTTTTTTGACGAAAATTAGAAAACGGACGAGACAATTACGATCAATAATTACTGGCAGAACATGGTTTCGTTCCATCTAGTTTTTTTAGTTATTTAGTCAATAAAAACAATAGAAAATATATATAATTTATATTTTCACATGCATCTTTCAATAAGTATTCATAAAAAAAGTGTTAATACATATTTAATAATATTTATCTATATTTTAAACGATTTGAAATTAATTTACTTGTATAAATGTTTAAATAATTAATACAGAATACAGTAGTATTACTATACTCTATAATTATAGACTATAATTACAAATTAGAATTATTTTTTGATTGTCATATCATATTATATAAATTAAAATAACCTTTGTGTAAAATAGAAAACTTAAACAGTTTTAAAAAATATTTGTGTTATTTATGTATAACAATGTAATTAAATAATAAAAACATTTTTTATCAACGTTTATAGAAAAATTAACAAAAAAAAAAAAAAAAAAAAGTATAAAAAATCTATAATAAATAACTCAAAAATAATTGAAATATTTAAAAAATGTTATTATGTATAAAAAATGTTAGTATTGACATTTGATTACATTTTCAAGTATTTGCAGTAATTCGTTTTTGAGTTGCACAAAAAAAAAACTGATTTTGCATAACATTTTCCGTTTTTTCTTAATTTTGTTTTTATTTTACCTGGTTATTTCGATAAACAACAACAGTTTTAAATTTGACCTCTCATAAGTTCCAATTAGATCTATTTGATGTTAAAAACCATCTTCAAAGTTGAAAATAAAAGTATTTTTCCTGCTATCGTGTATACAGACAAAAAACCATATATTATAAAATCATTAAATTCATCGCTAAGTTCTCAAACATCAGAATATAAAATTATGTATAAATAATAAATATTTATAGCTCATTTATTTTACTTACTTATATTTTATCCAATATGAATGTGACCAAAAAGTAAAAACGCATGAAATATAATCGTGAAAATGTTGTTGTCATATTTTTGAATTGTTGTAAAAACTAAAACCAAAATATCTACATAAAAATGTATAAATATTTAAAAACTTGACAAACATTTTAATATCCATATAAAAGATTTGGTATAGTGCATAGAATTACTTTTAAAACATTGATATCTAAATCGTTAAAAAAAAGTTGATTTCAAAACCAGACTAATTTTGGATAATATCATACATTTATTAAATAAAAATTTAGGTAATATATGGGCCAATAAATAAATAATTATAAATAATAAGTGCTATAATAAAGAAATTCCCATTTTCTTCTTTTTACATTATACAGAACTTTATAAATTAAGCTATTGAATAAATTTAACGAAATTGAAATATTCGATTAATTATTATAAAAACGTGATAAAATCAAATACATTTTCATTATTAATTTTACATATTTTATGTATTTAATTTTAAAATTTGCTAAAATTTGATGATGTTTATAACTAATTCATAAACCCGTCAGCTTTATAATCCATTAAAGTACTTATTTTAAATTTACACTACCACACTAGAATCGCAATTGAATTGTTGTTTTTATTTTATTAAATAATAGTCATTAACTATAAAAGTTATAGATTGCAGGTAAGTACCTTCTTCTACCTATATTAACTATTATATAATAAATAAAATGCTTAATGTATTCAAACTTATTAGCGATTAAACCATTTCAATATTCCCATAAGTAATTATTTTGCTGTGCTTGTATGATTTGCTAAATTAAATCAAATCTTACAAGATATAATGAAAAATGATAGTATTTTATAATAACAAACCATGTATTATAAATTATATTATAAACATTGTATACATGAATATATTATAATTATAACATAAATTACAATTAATAATAAATATAAAATATTATGAACAATTTAAAATAATAACAAAATTTAGATGTTAAGTCCTTTCTAAATTTCGATGAGTTATCCATAATTTCGATCTTTCATGTTACTGCAGCTAAATATAATTGTAAGTATTTAAAAATTTGGATTAGTTAGGTCTGTTCAAGCTCGGATAAAGGGAGGGTAGAAGGGGCCATAGTCTTCTCGGCTTAAAATTACATAAAGTGATAATTTGTACTTTTTATAGTACCTACATTAGTACCTACAAAAATATTATTATTTTTTCTTGTTTGAGCTAACAGTCGATAGAGCCTGTCGACCGTGTTTACCACCAATGGTATGGTAAGTGGGGACACATAGCGCCATAGCCAGGTTTGTACTTGTTGGGAATAGGCATATATTTTGATATCACTGTATTTAAAAATAGAATTGGAAAAATTTGTTTATGTGACTGTCCAGTCATGGATACTCATAATTCAGATACCTACCGACTAAACCTGTTTACATAAATAAAACTTAATTTTATATGTAAATATATATTTTAATAAAAAAATAATATGTTTTTAATATTTTTATCCTCATCAATCGTTATCATACTTAAATAAAAATTTTTAAATTTATTTAATTGTATAATTTTAAAGAACTATTTTTATTTATGGGGGCCCACAACAATATATTGGCCCCTGGGCCGCTGAAGCTCTTGATCCGGGCTTGGGACTGTTACACATTTATAGTTATACTTCGCACTCATCATCATAAATAATATTAAGCCTAAAATTGTTAATATTACGTAAAACATATATTCATAAACCTAAAAAATAAAACGTTTAGATTAGATGATGACTTATACAACATTATTTTTATTTTTATTAGCATCTTACTTGATTTTCAAATAATTGCATCTTAGATATTAAAACTATAAGTAAATTTCCAACTGCCTGAGTACATAAATTAGCTGCCGATATAAAAGACTTCATACTTAATGGAGCCTAAAAATTAATATTGTTACGGTAAATGAACCATCTTATTTAATTAAAATAGATGTTATAACACTAATAATTGTAATACATTTATTTAATTCATTTAATTTTTTTTTTATTATTGTTTAATTGGTATTTATTTTACTTGGGTGAACGTAAACTCCAATAATGTAATCACGACCATTACTTCGCCTACTGTAATTAAAAGCGTTTGAGGAACTTGCCATAAAATGTGTATGTATTTTCCATTTTCTAAAGTAATTAATTTGGCGTTCTAAAATGTGAAATAATAAAATTTAAAACTAAACAAACTGTTCAATTTACTCGTACTCATATAAGTCATATAATTCGTTTAGACTAGTTACCGTATGGTTAATACTATGATGAAATATTAAGTCATTAACACTAGCCGGTAGTAAATCTGCCTTTTGCAAAATTTGTTCATCGTCGAGGTATATATCATAACTACAGTATAACGTAAGAATTTCTATTATAAATATATTTATTATATAAACTGATTGTCTGCATACATGAAACCACACTTACGTTCCGACAGGTATTTCATGGTTTGTATTTTTGTTGAATGGCAATTTAAAATTTATAACAGACAATTTATTATTAGTACTCCTTAATGTCATGATTTTTCCCGATAAATTATGATCGTATGAAATCCTAAAAAAATTAACAATATAATAATTAATTATATTATATTATATAAAATTTAATAATAACGAAATTTAATCGTATTCTAACTTAATTAATTATTTCAATACCTTGGAGTTATCAATATTCGTAAATGTGTAATTACTAATAATTGTGTAAATTAATATTTAATTATATGCTTAATTACAATTTTTATAGTTGTTATTAGTTATTAATTAATAGATAGTTACAACCTACCATTAATATATACTATATGATATCTTAAACTCAATAGTCTAACCTGAGATTTGAATTTCCACTCTTTAATTTCTTTAATTCGTTTAAATATATCAATTCTATACCGTCATTAATTTTAGTTGTTAAAAAATACGAAGTAACCTTAAATAAAAATAAATATATTTTATTTTAGTTGTCTGTTAAATAGGTTGATAATATAAAAAAGTTATAACAATTCTAACCCTTTTTCTGACTATGAAAATGCGTTGTTTTAAAGTATCCGTTTCTAATTGGCAAGTAGGATTTACTTCTATAGATATATTATCAGTTTTATTGAATTCTTCTAAACTATAATTAATATGAAGTACATCTAATGGTTCAATTTTGAAATTTCCGATCAAAGAACCGGATATGGTTATATCGCACTCAAAATTATTATATATTTTTAATTGAGCTTCATTTGACGGCAATATTAAAGTCTGACCCTGTAAAATCAAAAATGTCTTAAGAAATACTATGGTGAATAACAATAATTATGTGTATATATTGTGCTTCTCTGATTTATTTCTCGTTAACACAACAATTATGTGTGTTACAAATGAATGTATATAATTTTTAAGTATTTGTTCACGTGTGTGTTTTACTTTATAAGATTTAAACTCTAATTTCTTCAAACTAATTTTGCATACGAGCTTAATTTACGATAAAACTAAGTTCTTTTTACGTAATTTTAAAGACGAAAATAAAATGAAGTAATAAGTTTTGAAAGTAAGTATAGATATGACGTTTAATTGCGCTTATTTTAATTCCAGTAAAAATAAATACATATATCTAGATAGGTTTATAGTGTTTATGAAATACAAATTTAACCTATCCTGGTTTTTTAGATATTTTAGTTTGTTTGAGATAAATTTTCTGAATATCACTGAATATTATATACAAAAATATTATACTTAAAATTTTTATATGTATTAATATCGAATATTGAATAAATGGTTTAGTAATTTATAGTTATTTAAGATCTTTATCAGTAGTGAAGAGAATAAAATTTGCAGCACACGTGTTCCTCTTGATATTTAATTCGTCACTACATTCTCAAATACTCTTATCTATACTTTAAATGAATATTTATAATACTATTTCTTCATTTCATTATAATACATCAAAATATATTCATAAACATATTCTACTCCAGATTCGTATAAATGAGTTTAAAAAAATGTATGAATTATTAAAAATAATACGTATTTTATAATATTATTTTATCTATTTCATTTTTTAAATTAAGTCCACAACAAAGTTTAAATAAAAAGAAAAATATCATAATTTATTAATGCATTTACCAAATTAACCTCAATATAGAGTCATAAAGATATTAATAAGCTTGTTTTAATAATCTATCAATAATATTATATTAGATAAAAACTTACTATAATCTACTTATTATGTAAATTTCATGCGTGATGACAACAGCGTAGCGTAACCGTTACAACTATTATATAGATAAGTACTTAAAATAATCTATCATTTATAGGGCTAGGACCTTAATGCACTTCAAAATTTCTAAATATGCATGTAATTATGCGTTTATCATAGTGCAAAATAAATATGCATTTATTATTTTTTTCTACTCACAATTTACATAATTACAAATATTTTACCTATTTATAATTCTAATCCTCGTTTTAAGCTATTTATTATTTGTCTACCTTATTTATAACTATAGGTCAATTATTATTAATAAAAATTACCAAACTATCATCGATTTTATTGTTTTAGGCGAACTGAATGAAAGGGGACTATTGTTTCTTTAACTGTTTAAAACATATTCATATTAAGTTTTATAGTAATTAATGACTAAAAATATATACTTACAATAATTATATACTGTATGATAGCAGCACATAGGTACAAACGACGATATAGTAAATAGGCCACCTAGAGTGATTTTTTTTAAAGGTGTGTTTATACCAATTTTATACAAAAATGGATAGACTACAGAATTAAAAAGTGGTATAAATATCATAACAAATAACGGATTAATGAAATGAATTTGATCAGGCTTAATTGACCAATTTAAAAAATCTATTTTTCCATTCATTAGTGTCCCTTGCAGTATCCAACGAGAACCCTGCAAATTAAAATTTTTGATATTCATTAAAAAAATTTTTCTTGTCCTGCTTTTAGAATAAGTCATAACAAAGAAATATAATTTATACGGGTATGTATTTATTTATGTAAGTCATAAAAAACGAAAAAAAAATTAAATTTATATATCATTATATTTTTACAATTCAGATAAATTAACCTGTTATAAAATGAATAACATTATGTACCTATATATACATCAATATGTGAAAAATGATTTCAATAAATATATTTTTAAACTATCCTTTTTTTATAAAATAACTTACTTGTTGATCAAAAAGTGTGTATAATAATGGTATTGGAATTAACAAATACATGACGTCTAACGCTGACCTCAATTCGAATATTTGATGTAAACTGTACTTATTATCTGCATATTCCAACCAATCTTTTCTTTGCACTTCATTTGAAGAAGCCGTTATTTTTTTTTTAACGCGTACTTTTATGGAAAACAAAGGTAATTTAATATTTAAAATATATTCATGTAGCTATATAATTTATAGGTGTAAATGATGATTTTTATGAAACAATACTCACTATTTGAAATTCTATTAATATTTTTGAAAATATTTTTCTTACAAACTTTCTATCGAAATAATATAACAAAATAATTTTAAAAACGTTAATAGATTTTGAAATAATGAGTGATCACTAAAATAATCACTTAATATATTTAGCATTTTTTAAGTTATAAGTTATAACAAATAGAATCATACTAAATATATTTGATAAAAATTATTTTTTATACTCTTACAAACATGCATCCAATTGAACTTGGAATGATACTGGTAACGGGTTTATTGATCTTGTACAGCTTCTTGCCACTTACAAAAAACACTTACGCATTCATAAAAAAAAAGAGTATTAATACCTATTAAAACTAATAATTTAATGACGAAATATTCTTTAGAAATATATAAAAAACAACCAAATTATTTCATTATTTTATACTATTAATCGTTAATCAAACCATAATTTTTAAGCAGAAATAATATTATATTATAAAAGCTATGCTATATCATACGATTAATCATTTTTTTAATGAACAGTATGTATTCAGTCGTTTCTTGACTAACCAACAAGTTATGATTTCTGCTAAATGACAATACCTATTGAAATCAACATTAGAATAGCAGGAATCCCAAATGCTAATGGAAAACATGAATCTTTTTCAAAACACTGAATTGATTTCCTCAATTCTGGTGTAATGAACGTTGATAACAATGATCCAACATTGATAGTAAAGTAAAATATAGAAAAAAACTTTCGAAGATAATCCTCTTGATCTGGTAATACAAATTGGTCACCACCAAAAGAAGAGACACATGGCTTTATACCACCAGCTCCAATTGATGTTAAAAGTAAACCAATTATTGTAAATAATCTGTAAATATATTAAAATGCAATTTAGATATTCCCGTGAACTTTTATAATAATTAACATGTTATATTCTAATAAAATCAGAGATATCTCTGCTAAATATAATAACGTAAACTTTTGTACCAACTTTAATGGTCATAACACAAAATTAAATACCTAAATATTAAATTTTAAATTTTAAATAGACTAATTTTCATGCAGTTCATTAACAATTCATAGATACAATACTAAAACAATATAATAGCATTTTTATAAATTTAATTGAATCCTTTATAAAAAAAATAATAGATATTATTTTTCATATTTATAAAAATAAACTGGATCATTGTAAATACATATTTCATATAAAAATATTAGTTTTAAATACTAGAATAATTTCTCTATGATTGATAAAAATGAATGTGAAATATAGGGTAATGCTGTAGTAAAACTAAAATATTAACAATAAATTCTTCAAAACTAAAGAAAAATTATAATTATTTCTCATTTATTTATCAAGTTATTATTAATGATGTATATATTTTACCATACCTCTGGAAATTTAAACTGATCGAAGTGACAAAAGATGCAACTGCCACTAAGATATTTCCTATTGCGTGTACAATAGACAAGATATAAATGGTTCTGTAAATTTAAACATGGATAAAATTCATTAGCATAAATTTATATTAATATATGTACCTAATTAAAAAAAAATTAAAAAAAAATATATATATGTATTAAAATATAAATAAGATATTGAAAAAAGGAAACATTAAATTGTTATTAATACAAGTAGTCGAGTTAAATTATTTATTTAATGCAGTTAGTAATGAAGGATAGTTTATTAATTATTTATAAGTAAAATACTCAACATATATATTGAATAAATTTGTTTTTTGTTTTTTTTTCAAATGTATTTAATAATATAAAATTAAAAATTGTATTGTGAGTTTGTGAGCATTCTTTTTCTTTAAAACCTAACTGCGCAATGACGTTGAGGACTTTTGAACCTAAAGTCGAGCATTGAATTCAATAATACTATTAACACTGACGCCGCTGAAACCATTCTGCATCAAAATTTAAGCACGGTGACAGATTTCAGCAGCAACTTTCCCATTTTATCAGTTTAGTTAATAAATTGCTAATTGCAATTTGAATAATTAATATTAATAACAATTTTTAGCATTTTTTAGTACCAATAAAAAAATCAACTTTGTCGAGGTTGGCTAAATACAGTGAAACCTCCACTAACGGACACCTCCTAATAGCGGACACCTCCCAATAGCGGACGTTTTTTGGGGAACGGAGATTTTCACTATTTTTCAATAGGAAAACCTCCGAATAGCGGACTCTCCGAATAACGGATATTATTTTATCAGAAAATTTTTAAAATAATGGTAAATCCCTAATAATTATTTGAAAATAATACGTATTCACATACGTGCACTCTCGTAATAATGTAATTACGATAATAGACTCGTTATGGGACGATACGATTACGACAAATTCGGTTATCGGTGAAGCGGTTATGTGTTATGATAAAAGTATGTCAGTTAGTGACGGTTTTCGACGCGATGACTACGTTAATTATAAACAAAGCTCACCTATTTTTTCAAACAAAAATAATTTAAAAATACATGTACATAATTTTGATTTTGATTATAAAAATATACTTTAAATAATAATATGTAATTAATAATAATTTGTAAAAATATAAAAATATAATAATTTACAATAAATAATAAGTAATAACATTACATGTATGTATATGTACATACATAGTACATTATTATACAAATAGATTTCAAAAATGTATCCCCTCTGAATAACGAACACCTCCGAATAACGGACAAAATGTTGGTGACCAAGAGTGTCCGCTATTCAGAGGTTTCACTGTATTTCTTTTTTCTCGGTATTTTTAATCATAGTAAAATCTAGATTAAATTAAAAACTGTACCCTCCCAATGCTAAAGATTACAGAAAATTATCTGCTCCAAAACTGAATGATTGACTCATGTAAAAAACACACACATATTATGCACTATTCTACAAAATACATTTTATGCTTTGTGCATAATTAAAATTAAGTACTCAAAACCACCTACAACATAATATTATACTCGTAATAATGGTTTATAGTAGGTAGTATCTTTAGAGCAAATTTTAAAAGAATGCAAATGGTTCTTTCGTTTCCATCCTTTGACCCCAACGACGGCCTTACAATTGCAGACATGTTCAGTATTGAAAACGTATTTTTAGTTGACTAACATTAACATACCATTAAAATGTATGCAGAGCAATTGTATGTACTTTTAATTTACTTTATATTAGTACTTATGTAATAAAGCTACTTTAGGGGCTATTATTCTATTAGTTGCACTTACTTATATTTTCCCCAATATGAATCTGCAATGATAGCACCAAACAATGGTGATAAGTATGCACAGACTAAAAACATATGAAATAAAATCGTAGAAGTATCATGGTCATATTCTTGAATCGTAGTAAAAAATAAAACCAATATAGCTAAAATACAATAAAATTAAAAATTAAAATAAAAAAATATTAAGATGTATTATATTATCATATAAAATACCTTTAAGTCCATGAAAACTAAATCTTTCGCAAAATTCATTTCCAAATATATACCAAACTGATTTCGGATATTTCTATTTGCAAACGAAATATTTATATTCAAAGGTTTTAAAATGAAACATTTAATTCGTTAATAACAATAACATAACTTACTAATAATGTTGACATATCGGAATGATGTAAGTTAGTAAGTAAATTAAATTACTAAAGAAGTTATTTAAAAAAATAAAGTGTATGATAAAAATATGAGTTAAACTTAATTTTAGCAACAAATATTCACAAACAAAAAAAAAAATTGTACTTAAATATTAAATTTCACTTATTTTATAACAGTTAAGTATTGATATATTTTTATTGATCTATCTCTATACTGAGTATTAAAATTACGAGCCGCATACTAATAGAACGGCTTCAGCGCACAGCGAAGCGTTGTAATAATATTTGTGCTTCAACTAAAGTCATAATAAAATCGTATATTTTTTTTTTATTATTCGAAAACTGTAATTATAGTCGTCCGAAGTACTCTCGTCAATTTATGAATATGAGCCAAAAGATCTATGAATACTTCTCATAAAACTAGAAAATTAACAACTGAGTGAACCGTCATTCCTCAGTGCAGTAGTCTTGATATTCCGGCACTTTCCTCAGTAATCTGGAATATTTTTGTCATGTCTTGCTATAATTTAATTTTAGCTTATCATTTAATTAATTCCATGCAATTGAAGCTTCCAATAATATTGTTGGAATTTCAACAGGAATTATAAACTTGTCGACAATAATAATTATATCTACATGCATAATTCAATTGAGGTGTAATAACAGTAGATAAATTATTAATTCTATTTCTGTTTAAATATCTAATTTTTTTTTTATAAATCGGCAGTACTGTGGTATTATAATATTATGTGTCGGATTAACAAGATTACTGTATGTTTTGAGAAAATTTTAAACTATATAAATAATGTAAATAACGACAACATATTAATAAATGTAAGCAACCATGAACCAAGTTCATCATATCTAGTACGTTTTATTTAGTTCGTCGTTTATTATAAATTTAATTACCTGATTATAACGTTTAATAAATACTACATATAGTATACATCTTGTACAGCGTTAAAGTAAGTGATACAACAAGGAATGCCGTGTCCGAACATCGGAAGTTATAGAAATCACTATCTTATTTTTTTTTTTTAATTTTCATTAGCAAACATAATAAATACTACAGTACCCAAATTTATTTTCAGATATTTTAGCTGATCGTATTTATTTAATGCAACACATAAATGACGATAAGCGATTTTAATCAATACACTGAATATTTTAGTAGGAAATGACGCATAGAGAGCTATGAAATTCGGACCCACCGTATAATGGCGTTGCTAATTAAATACTAATTATAATATTTTTCTAGAATTTTAAAATTTATCTCAATAAAAAGTATTAAAAAAAAAATATTATTTTAATTTCTTTATTGTATTCACTCAAGTATTTTTACTTACACAGTTTCTTTGACGCAGAAAATAAGAATTGTTGTTTTTTCATAGAAAATGCATTAAGAAATGAGGAAATGTGATAAGTGAATTATATTACTAAATCTGTAACTATGCGTAATATTTTATCATATATTATGTATATATGTGTATTGTCGGCTTCTGTGTTTGTTTAACTCATATAAAATGGTTATTGAATATAAGTTATGTCTTATAATATGTTAATAATAATTTATATTGCATGTTGATAACTATGTTTGGAGATTGAGGGGACTACGCCACGCGTTTTTCTAAAACCTCATGATCATGGGGGACTAGAGTCCCGCGAAAAATTTAAATGTTTACACCTATGAAAGTACTATATAAAAGATATAAGTCTAAAGTATCTATACACATTTTAATTCTTGTTCATCATAACAGTTTAAAATAACAACTAGAAAATCTTAGAAATACAAATAAACAAACAAATCCTTACCTGTTAACACCAATAATTGTATTCCGACATTCTCGCATGCTGTGTAATAAATTCTTTTAAAAAATATGATCATATAATATGTTTTGCCTAACACTGATTTATGACAATATATTAATCATTTCATAACTTATAAGTCATAACTCATAAGTATATATTAAGTACGAGAATTTTTCATATCTATGTATAATAATGCAATCGTAATAAATATTAACCACGCCACCCAATTACAATTTGCATGAATCAAACTCATATAGTTTCAAGTTTTGATAATCAATTATTGTAAAATTTTACTAGTGTTTTTAAGTACGTCGTAAAAAGGATTAAATAAACAACGATATTTAATAATTATTATTAATAACATAAGATATAATTGAAGTGGTAAAGTTACCTCTGGAAGCCATTTTGGGAGTGATTTATAGATATTTATTCAACACATACGTACCTATATGAATACACTTGATACTGTTAATACTTTTAACTAATACACATACCTATAGTAAAATTATAAACCATATAAAAATTAAATAAGACTTTAAAAGAAACCTAAGAACTATAAATTGTTTCGTAAGTTGGCAAACATTAGCAGAGGCAACAAATTTGATAGAGCGAAGATAGTAGCATGGGTTTTGGCGAATTCAATCAATGAAGCACATTAATCGAGCCTTTTTATAGTAAACAATTTTTATATTTAGTCAGACTACGAACATACATATATTAAATATAATTATTTAATTATCTTTTAAACTATAATTTAAATTACCAAGCCGACTAAAATCTAAATAGACTATAAACTATAAGTACATCACCATAAGACAAATATCAATACCACAAAAAAAAAAAAAATAGAAATCATTTTTATCTTTTAATAAAAAAACTATTTCATCTTTGCTTTTACATACAATTATTGCTTATTTAAATATAATATAAAATTTAAACTAATAATACATTACATTTCATTTATTTTTAAAATATATTTAAATCAGTTTTAAATTTATTCATAGTAAAACACATTATTTAAAATACATAGTATATAATATAGTCATAGAAAATTTAACTTATTTAAACTTATTTATATAATACTAATGTATAAATAATAAAAATATGTGTATACAGGTGTTTAAATGATAGCTTATACTTGAAATATATACAAAAAAAAAAAACAAAAATAAATATTTGCAATAGGTATCATACAATAAAAAAAATAGTATACCTTAGTTTTTCTTATTTTGATCATTGTACGTAATGGGCACGGGGTCATTCAAATTTTTATATTTATACGTATAGCTCATTAAAATAAATAGTAGCATATCGAGTACCATTAGTCCAGCAAACAGAAAATATTCATAGGCCTAGAAAAAAATTAAGTTTTACAATTACACAATATAAACGAAGGAAGTAGGTATCTATATTATAAGAAGTACAATTTCAAGCTAAAAAGAAAGAACTATGAGAGTACTAATTTCAAAACTAGTGGTAATAAACTAACAATTTCTATATTGATTTTAACGTACTTGATTTTCGAAAAATCGTACTTCAGACACAATCACTACTATTAGATTTCCAAATGCTACCGTCAACAAATTAACTGCTGCCAATAAGGATTTCATACTTGCAGGAGCCTTTAAAATAATAATTATACATATTACGTAGTATATACTTTAAATTTCTAGCATAATAATGATTAAAAATATACTTGAGTAAATGCAAATTCTAAAGTCGTGATCGAAAACATAATCTCTCCAGCGGTCATTGCAATAATTTGGGGTAATTGCCATGCTATATGAATAAAATTACCTTTCTCTAAGACTATCAAATTTGAGTCCTAAAATTATGTATTTTTAATAAATTAAAATAATACGGTACTAAAAATAAAATTATGAAATCAACAAATACTTACTATGTGATCTGAATTACGTTGTAGTATAAGTATGTTTACACTAGCTGGTAAAAAATTTAAATCTAAGAGGAATTCGTTGTCTAAAAATGCTTTATATCTGAAAAATTAAGTAATTAGGATTAGATACATTGGATGTTTAATGAATACTTATATTTATTATAAAAATAGCCATACCTATCTAACAAGATTTTAATTTAAATAAGCATACTTCTCATGTTCCCGTGTAATTGTGTATAACACTACTAATATTATACTACCTATCATAACCAACCAATATTTACTTAAATTATAAAAGTACCTGTGTGATACATATTAATTTCATTTAATTTAACATTTTTTTTTATGATTAATGTTTAAGTACAAGTAGGTACAAACATAAATTAATAAAAATGTATCCTCTAATTCAATACAGATAATAATATTATTATTTACCAAGATTTGTTAAAAAACAAAAATTAACAGTAGTCACAACTCAAAACTGATTGCCCTTGTTCCCGAAGCTATAATTCAAATAAAATGAAGTATACTATTCTAATTTCTAATTGTCACATTCAGTATTTCAAAAAATACAAGTTTTATAAAAATATTATTTTATATAATTTACAACACAATATACTTGGTATTAAAAATATCTGAAATCTTAAGGATATAGTCAATAAAAAAAGTAAACTAAAAAAATTATATGTGGTAAAAAAAATTTAAGTGTTTTACAATAATATATTGAATCATGTACAAAAATACTTTCAAAAATTTTAATGCTTTAAAAAAAAAAAAACAAAAACATTTAAATGGATCACAGTGTACTTAACAAAAATATATAATGATATGTATGTATATAATTAATCAATTATCATTCATACAGTTTAATCAAACTATTAACTGCTAAACAAATATAATCAAAATCTAATAATAATTATTAATTAACATATTTGTAATAACACTTTTTAAAATCTTAATAGTTTATTCAACTATAAAACAATAAATTGCTCTAGAAAGTTCAATATGATATATTGTTATAATTTATAAATTATAGCTTTTCTTCATATGATTATAAGTTGTATATATTTATTATTAATTATATCATTTCAATATCAGTAACATTCATTTATAGGCATTAATAAGAGAGAGTGAGAGAGAGTGAGTGGGAGATGTTTAAAGAAGCTTAGCTTATTAACCAATACAATATACATCATAGATTGTCAAAACAATTATATAATTTGAAAATTATAAAACCTAAAAAATTATTTTGAAACAGTAATCTATAAAATAAATAATTATTTACTAAACAATATATTTTATAACTTACTCTCCAATGGGTACGGTGTTTTTTATTGAGGATTTTACATTAATTTCAATTGCTGTGTTGTTATTTTCTTTCTCTTTGAGTATCAAAATGTTATTAGATAAATCATCACTGTTTAAAATTCTATAAGGAAAATGTGGTTTCAAATAACATATAATTGTAGGTGTAATCTAAAATTAAATTACCTTAAAATTGAATTACCGTTTTTAGGTTTAGTTAAGTCATCAATATAACCAATTCTTTTTAATTCAAGTTTATCTTTTATGCGAGTTAAAAAATATGACATTGTCTGTAATTTTTAATAATAATTGAGTTATTTGTAATATATCTAAAGATCTACATATTATTAAAATATTATTCCAAGCCAACCTTTCCTTCAACGATGGACACATTACTTGTCAAATTTAATGTTGATAAATTCGTAGAACATGTAGAATCAGCTATAAAAACAATGGGAAACGAAATTTCGTTAGAAGCTGGTGCATATCTTATCTCTAATGTTTCAAGAGAATTTAATTTGTAGACCGGTAAGTTTGTTGAATTTATTGTTATGTTACAATCGATTCCATTGAAAACTCTTAATTGACCTTCACCTGCTGGTATTTGGATCGATCCACCCTAAAAATATTAAATCACGTTTAAATTAAATTTGTTTAATATTTTATATCAAGGAATAATAATATTTTAATATACGAAGATATATGCATAATTAAAACTCAAAAATTAACAAAATTAAAGTTAATATAAAAATAAAATTTCATACTATATAGGATAAGATTTTTTTAACAATAAATATTCATCATTTTGATAAGTATCGAAGTATGAAAGTATCTATATTTTTTACTTACATTTTATACTTACAAAACAACATTTTTACTAGGTATTTTTATTACTATATTTTTAAATGTTATAATTTTCAAGGATAACATTTTTTTTTAGATCCTAAAGTTAAATTTATTTATTTTTTTTTTTTTTTTTGAGAAAGAGCTTCAATATAGGTATACAATGATAATATTAAGAAAAATCTTTTAGTAATAGGAAAAAGTTATTTAAATAGTGTTAATCGGTACTTTTCGAGGTAATGGTAAAAGAATATCCACTGATACAAGAATCAACCATCACAAAAATTAAGTGATAAACAAGTAGTATTTAGTATTATTAAAAATCATCTCTTACAAAATAATAAAAATATAAAGCCTGAAATTAAAAAAAGAAAAACAGATATGGGCACTCATCTTACTTTACTTATTTTAGCACAAAATGTGGTGTATTGTGAATAAACTATGATATTTTATTGTATTTAAAAACACTGAAATATATTATTATTTGTTAAACCTAGTTATAGCTTTAAGAATTTAAAAAAATAAATTATGCTTCATACAATCAAACAATACATAATAGCTATAATACACCTAAACATTACAATATTATATGTACTTTAACCAAAATTTAATTTTTTAACTAATTAATAACCGAGTACTTAACATTTCACACTATGACGTAATATATTATAGGTACTTACAATAATCTTGTTTTGTACAACAGCTGATAGTACAAAAGCCAAAGCAGCAAGAAAACCACCTAATGAGATTTTTTGTAATGGTTTTTTAATACCGATTTTGGCTAATAAAGGATAAACAATGGTTTCGAATAATGGAATAAATAACAAAACGAGAAGTGGATTCATCACTTGCATTTGATCAGGTTTCATTGTCCAATTGAGAAAATCAATCTTGCCATTCATCAAAGTAGCTTGTAATGTCCAGCGAGAACCCTAGACAATTTAAAACAAAATACTTAACAGAATATAATTTATATTTCAGCTCAAATAAACATAAAATAAATAAGAAGTGTTCAATGAAATCTTGTTGTTATTGTATTTAAATATAAAATCACTATAGATATTTAATATAATTGATAAATTTAAATAATAATTTAATTTTTAAATTGGTAATAGTTTTGTTTGGTAAATTAATATCTCCATACATATATGTAAGTATTTAGATGAATTAATACTAAGTATTAAACAAGAACAATTAGTTTTAAAAATAGATTAGACTAACTTCTTTATTTAATAGTTATTTAATTAATTAATATGAATAATATAAATAATTGGCCGTTTTTTTAAATAAAAATATGAGTCATTAGGTTAATAATATAACTATCAGTAATTCTTACTTGTTGATCAAATAAGGCCCAGAAGAATGGAAATGGAATAAATAAATATATTACATCTAAAGCGGAGCGTATATCTGAAATTTCTTTTTCTGAAAACTTGTCATCTGCATAATTTAACCAATGCATTTTTTCAGTATCTGATGAAACATATGATAATCTTCTTTTAAGTGCATGCTATAATATATAATAACATAAATTTAAATTATATAATAGCAATATAATAAATGTATCAAAATAAACCTGTAATGATTATATACCTATTGGCTATTACAAAAGACATATGTCTAGAACAAAATCAAATGTTTTTCATATCATGGTTATACGTTTAAATCATTTGTAGAAATAATTATGACGTAGGTATAGTACTTCAGAATATGAGTATTTTAGTCAGTCTTAGAAAGTAAACACATTTACAATATATGAAAATAAAAACTTACATAAATACACGAAAAAGACGTTACAATGACGTTCGATTCTGGCTTTTTTATCTTATATAATCGTTTACCGCATATGAAAATAACTAGTTTGGAATAAAAACAAATATAAGACATTAATGTATAGTAACACAATTGTATAAATAATAATTAATAAATGTATAAAGTATTAATATAGGCTTAAATTATTAAGTAGCAAACTACGCTACTATATAAGTGCAAAATACATTGTTTATTTATAGTTTTTTTAATTAATAATTTACATTCTGTAAAAATTATTTAAAGCAAAAAATCTATTTAACCGAAAATATTCATAAAAATTTTACTTACTAATTGCTATAAGCATTAGCATAGCTGGTACACCAAAAGCTAAGGGGAAACATGATGTTCGGCCGAAACATTGTATACCTTTTCTTAGCTCTGGTGTTACTGATGTTGATATGAGAGAACCTGCGTTGATAGAAAAGTAAAATATGGAAAAGAACTTCTGTAGATAAACTTCTTGTGCAGGAAGATCAAATTGATCTCCACCAAATGACGAAACACATGGTTTTATTCCACCTGTTCCAATTGCAATTAAAACTAATCCCAACAGTGCTAAGTACCTATGAAATAATAAGGTATTACTTTAAAATAATATACTATAAATTAAAACAGTTTATACCTTAGGTAAATAATAAATACCCATTATAATAGTATAATAAATATTTTAACATTACGTAGGTATACAAAACATTTTAATTTGTAATGTCCTCTCAAAAATTTTTGTCAAAAAAAAAATATACGGATATACATTTTTAGCAATAAAATAAAAAATCCAAATGGATTATATAAATATACAAATATCTATACTTATCACTAATACCACTTAATAGCCACTAATTGGTACCTATGTATATATATATATACATACCGTATTTATTAAGTACCTACAAACTAGCTATAATTCTATAATTAACCTATTACATAACCCGCGACATCATTGTTTTTTGTTTACAGCTATAAGTATACTAGATATTCAACACGTATTTAAGCATTATTAAATTAATATATTATGGTGTACTAAAATTTAGGTACCTATATATTGACAAATTGTTAAAATAGAAGTGAAATAAATATAATTATAAATCAATTTAAATACCTACTTTATAATGGCCGTTATGATGGTTTAAATAATTAGGTATAAAAAAATAAAATATAGAACTAAAGTATTTAATTTTGATATTTTAAATTTATATTATGTAAACTATGACAATTAATAAATATTTTGAATTATTTTTAATATTTTCTAATATAAGTGACATTCATATCATACTTATATGGTACTCATTACGATTAATTAGATGTTTTTTTTATTATTGAAACTAAAAGCTCTTGTCTATATTTTATAATATATTTTTAATTATTAAGTTTCAAAATAGCATTATATTTAGAAGACATTATTATAATAACTACAAAAAATATTTTTCTTATAGTACAAATATTATTATTTATTACCTTTGGTTATTTAAGCTTAATGAAATTGCTAAAGACGACCCAGTTATGACAAAATTACCAAGTGCATAAATTAGTGAAAGATAAACTATAGTTCTGAAAAAAAAAAAATGCATAAATTAAAAAAATATTTAACACATAGTATTATATCTTATTTTTATTATAAAATAAGTTAATAATCAACATACAAATTACAATAGTACTTATATAATAACTATATAATAAGCTAAACATAATATAGTAGTACAATACTACATAGGACACAACAGGTGGGGATATCTGGTATAATTTTTATGAACTACGAAGTTGTATATTAATATTTTAATTAAAGTATCAAACTCGGGCTTTTGTTACATAGTAAAATTATAATACACGTATACAGACTACTGAACCCATTTTATTTTAATACATCGAAAAGGAATATATTAAGGGGAAGTAATTGCTGATTGATTCAGAATATTTTATAATGACATTTTTAATAGTATTAAAAAATAACTAAGTAATAGAAATAATTGGAGTCCAAGAATTTAATGCTAACTGTACCTACATTAAGATTGTAAATGTATTGTAAAGATTTTGCTGTGATTTGATAAATTTTATGTTAAATGGAGTATTATAAAGTGAATTTGTGTTGAAAATTTGTGCTGGGACATAAAATTGGATAATAGATTAAAAAAAAAAAAAATAAATTAGTTAAAAACATAATCCAATTTAAATATTAAAATATTAAAATAAAAAGCATCACAAAAAATAATTAATAAGCCTAATTTAGATAATTTAATTGAAAAATCAAAATAAAATGTCGTTATCATATTTTTATACACGAGTTAACCTAATTTATAATTTATAAAGTTTCACACCAAAATAAAAACAATTTAATACCTACAATACCCTAACTCTAAAAACCAGCTATGATTTTTTTTTTTAATGTATAATCAATAACTAACTTTTATTTTGTTACTTACTTGAATTTTCCTAAAAAAGAATCGGATAAAATAGCTCCAAATATCGGTGAAAAATATGCCATAAAGACAGCCATGTGATAAATAATGGTAGATTCGTCTTCATCATATTGCAATATTGATGTAAGATATAATACTAAAACAGCTAATATACGAGAAAATACATTCGTAATTAAGAAAAACAAACAAATGATATTTTATACTATTAAATTATAAAATAGGTAAGTACTTCGAAGTCCATAGTAGGAAAATCGTTCACAAAATTCTGTACAGATGATAAACCACACTGAATTTGGATATGCCTGTATAAACATCAATAAATTATGAATTAATTATAATTATAAACATTTAACACTATAAACATAATTAATTTAGGGAAAATAATTGTGATACATTATTAATAGAGTAAAGTTATAACATTAGTTACTTTTATTTGTTAATATTATATGTATTTATGTACCTGTTTAAATATAATATTAAAACGACAACAATAATTTTAGTTTTTAAATTTAAATTAAGTCATTTTATAATATTAAATTAAGGAAAATAAAAAGTGTCTATTGCCATAAATATCTAATCACACTCTTTGACACACTAATTTGTCATTTGTGTCTAAAATCTATTTAAAAATAAAAAGCTAAACGCTTCTATAAGAAATTCTACGTCTGTCTAATGATAAACAAATTCACAAATTATCAACCAACAAAATTCATAAATAGAAAAATACGTTAGCTTCTTCGAGCAAGTAATTTTTTCGCTGTCAAATAATCAACTAGCAAATATTTTTATTGTACTCCAAGGTATAGATTGTACATAGCTTTAATGAAAAAATAAATGTAGAGAACACCGCATCATTACGCCCATATCTACTGTTTTCTTATTTCATATGTACAACGTGGCAATTTTTGTGGTTCAACAGTTCCAATTTTATGTTTTTATTTAGTATTTGACTACCTACTGACGTTTTCGAATATTACATAAATATAAATTATTGTTTTATGAATTTTAAGTACAATTTAAAAAGTAAAAACCATAAAAATAACTAATAATTGAATGCTTTTATCTACTTAATTTTATTTTTATACTGTTGACCACAAGTTTTTTATTTAATAAGCAATACTCATCATATACATCTTATACAAACAATGAGAAATGCTAATATTAACTACATGATTTTTTTTTTGTACATAGCACAATATTTAATTTCTGTTTCATCAGAAAATGTTATATAAGAATAGCTAAATCAATTACACTTGACTGTTATAACATTATAACTTCACGATTAAACTCTATAAAAATACTTTTAAAAGTTTCCTTAAATAATATAATTTTATTATTTAAAAAAAAATTGTATATATATATATATATACATAAATGTATTATAATACCTATATAATAATTTATAATAATGTATTAATGTATTTTTATTTTATTTGTAAACGATTTTTCAGTGTTCATCCTACTACGCTTTTTTTTTTTTACATACATTTTTTAATTGTTTTATAATAATAATTTATATTAATAAAAATTCATAAAATATAGTATTTAGATTTTAGACAATTTTTGTTAAATTATTTTAGTTTATATTACATGTAAACGGTTTAGTACACTGCAGTTACACTTAAACATTACCAAACATTAAAATATGTACAAAAATAAAATTAAAAAAATAATATCATCATCTACCACCTGATTCTAAATTGACCAATGGTGTATTGGTTATAGACAAATACATTTTAGATTGTCATTACAATCTTTAATTCAAATCAATACATTTTACATCAACATTTTTTATGTAAACGATATATATTTAAGTATATATAAGTAGAGTTATGTAATAGAAATAAAAATTTGAAATAGGAAAAACACATTTTTAAGTGTTACATACAATCATCTCCAAAGCGATAGAATTTTATTTAAGTCTTACGAAATATTGTCTGGTATCTACGTATGTAAAATAATGCAGAAGTAAATAACTTTTATAAATAAATTATTAAAATGGCTTGAAAAAAAAACGATGACAATAAACATATAGGGTATTATTTACCGCTATTTATAAATTAATAAAATTAACTCATCCATAGATGATGGAGCACAGAAATGTGAATTAGTGAATACAATAATTCAAAGTTTTGCAATAGCAATCTACTCACAATTCATAATTTACTACTGTGTCATGTAAACCGGTTTACCAGTTATCGTATTAAGATATTTGATGACATAGAGAGTTTTGACCTACTCGCGAATAAGAACACTTTCATACGTAGATGAACTCTGCTAATATTATAAATATTGAATAATAACTTGATACTACCTAATAATATTATGTACCGACATGACAGTTACTTAATTATCACTATAAAATGCTAAGGGATGATTTTTGGAAGGATGTCCTATCGACCATGCCAAACAACTTTGACCGTTCTTACTTTACATTAATTATTAATTACCTATTTCGTAGTATATTATTGCCATAAGGCGTAATTGACTCTGTCAACTTATTAATTTTCTGGTTGATTTGTTTAAAAATTAATCCCGTATTGATGATAATAATAATTTTAACTATTAGTATTTTAAGTTGTTTTTAATATTTAAAAAAATACAAGTAGCTAATATTATGTCTACAAATTAAGTACCAATCGATATTCAGTATAATACACAGATTCAGTTGACACCTGATAAGAAAGAATTCCTCCCTCTGTACCGGGTTCATTTAATATCCGAACATGGATCCTATATATTTTTTATGTATAAGGACGAAATAGATAAGCTCTGGACTAATTATTTAGTGTTTAAGAAATTAAAATTAATTTATTATTATTGTAATTTATAAGTATCTTATGTAAAGAACTTCATTCTTCAAAAAATGATGCAATACAACGAATAATAAAAACATTTTTTAATTTAGTTTTACATAAATTATATGTATGCAATATTGATATCATTATTATTTAGGTATTGACATACCTTAATAGCCATAATGGATATTTTTATTGGTGATTGAATCTTAAGATATTACAGGAAAGATAATGATAAATGTATTTAGTTAGTTATGACTTTATGAGGAGTATTAAATTATTCAAATATTTTAAATTGTAAACAATAAAAATGATTAAATTAATAACCATTTAATAATTGAATACAAGCAATATAGTGACAATAAAAATATTTCTTCTACTATTTTTAGAGAAGACTAACAACTGTTAAATAAAAAAAGACAAAAGAAGAAACGTGGAACTCGCTCTGTTGTGTATATATATATGGTAAAATTAAAATATATCTCCTCAGTCCTCATTGAGTAACCTAACCTATCTAGTAACTGTATTTTGTAATATACCTAATTGATGTGCTTGCAAAAAATATTTCGTTAAATATTAGGTGTACTAAGAATTATACAAATCAAAACAAATAATTTACAGTACAAAATCGTCTGAATTGGTTGAATCGGTTCATGGAATTAAAAGCTAAAAATAAGTCGAAATATTTTAAAAATTTCATTTTGTAGGATAATCGTATAGATTATAGTTAATACAATTAACATAATGATATGATGATACGTTTCAAGTTTCTACGATTAATATTTTTTAATCCCTACTAAATAACTATCTAAAAATCTTTATTTTTAATTCAATATGAATATAATTACATTCGAACTTTAAATGCACTAAAGAAAAAGTACTAAGTATTTACTGATATTTAATTCAAAAAAAAAAAAAAACTAAATAAAATATGAGCTTAAATCATTCTTGAAATTAAAAATATTCAGCTCTAAAACTGAATGACTACAGACACGCATCATATAATTATGGGTACCTACATTACTCCCAAATTCAGAATCAAAACTAAAACTAAATTTTATTTATAATTGAAATTATAAATAATATTTTTCTTGTTATCCCTACTTATAATAAGTTATAATAATTGTGTAAGTATAGGTTATGATATACTCATATAGTTATGAAACTCAATAAAAAATAAAAATAAATACTTATAATAATAAAATTAAAAATAATAATCATAATCATAATATTAAATTAAATGTTAATAAGTTTAAAATCATGTTAATTACCACTTTTTTTTTTTTATAGGTACATCGGAGCATCAATAAATGGTTTAAAATAGAACATAAAATAAATTTCCAACAATAAATTTTAATTTTAAAATAGAAAGAAAACAATAACAAATATTTATGGCATTAAAATTTCACAAATCATTAATATATAAAATATGCAGACGTAAAAGTACCTATACCTACATTAAATTTAATTGACATGTTTTTGCTGACTGTTCCACTTCAAAAAGAAACGTATTTACGTATAGTGTAAACCATATTGGTACGTAAAAAAACAATTTCAAATTATTATGATAATGATTGAATAGATAGTTTCATCATACAATAATTACGATTATTTTAACATAAAATAAAATATTATTTATCATACTCTGTTTCAATAAAAATAAATCTGTGACTTCTGTAATATAGAACGAACTACCTATCTCGAATAACCACTTTTATTGAAATTTATAACTAATTTATAGGTACAAATGTACAATTTAGGTAAAAATAAAGGGGAAAATAAATTATAAATTTAATTATAAAAATTATAGTATAATAATTATAATATATGATATTATTATGTCTAAGCAAAAGAAAATTTATAATTTAGCTTCACATTTGTTATTTAAAATAGGTAAGGTAAATACACAAAAAATAAACTAACATGTCCATTGATCATTTATTACGTACTTCAATTACAGATTAAATTCAAAATTTAGATTTGGACAATAAAATATTATACATCTCTTATATATTTTAATTGGTTAACTAATAATTTTAAATGGATTGATAAACAATAAATTATAAGATATTTATATACAATTTGATATACGTCGATACCTACAAACTGTAATTATTATTATATGTACCTAACAAAATACTAATTAATAATGATAGTAAAAATAGTATTAACAAATACTAAAACTAATGTGTCACAAAAAAAATTACACTTACCATTATTTATTATATAGAAATATTGATGTGTTGTTCAAATTAAGTTTGTTTATTGATTTATTTTACCATTTAGCAAAAAAAAAATTTCTACTGAAGTTAACATTATTTACAATTTATGTAGTATCTTAATTAAAATATTTTATTCGTGAAATATAATGTACAAAAAAATATTAACAAAATTTTAAAAAACAAGCTTATTTCAATTGTTTTATTTTTGTTTAAACGTATTTTTACAATTAATTTTAAGAGAAACAACGAGCGTGGACAGTTCACTCTCTCTGATCTTCAATTTTCAACTGATATAAGTTAACTATTTAACCAGAGAGGTTTGCATTTAACAGTATAACATAATTGGACAACATAAAATACAGATGCGTATTATCGAAACATAATTTAAGTCAAGGCTAAAGCCTAGTTAAACACAAACTATTGTCAATCCCCACTTTATAATTTATGTGGGTACCTATACTTTCCTAGTATGGTTACATCTCAAAATAATAGATAGTGAATTTAGTGGGAGAATAAATGATTCAAATATTGTTAAAACGATTTGTTTATTTTAAACTACAAAAATTTGTAATTCGTTTGTTTTATTACATTAGTTAAGTCTTTTTAATGGTTTTATTAAATTTTAGTATTTGAAAAACCACTCTACTTTATATATGTGTCAAGTGTATTTCATCATTGAATAGATCACTGTAGTTTGTATACGGGTCAAACGCGCGGCCTCAGCTCTTTTTTTTATAAGTTTATAACCTTCGGCAACAAATATTATTAGAAAATTAGATGAAAATAAAGAAATGGGGAAAGTAGGTAACTTAGTCTGATTTACAGTAGATGTTGAGTGTATCTATCTCGTATTTCAGTAAATCACTTTAATGTATTTATTAAATTTAATTTCATTGATACATAAGTCATTGTTCAAGACCGTCAATTGAGTGGGACTAAATAGAAGATTTTTTGGGGATTGATGACGAATATGGTATTTATTTTAGGTATCGTCGAATGTGATAACTTGCCACTTGGGGCAGTTAAATGTTGTATATTACCATGGACTGTGAATATGTGATGTTCTATGATGTTATTACATTATTCATGGATACTTAATACTTTTACATATAATAAAAATGTTACTATATGCAATGACATATTGAAAATATGTTGATTAATTTTAAGATATTATCAATTAATTATATTATGAACTTATTCACACAGTTCTACAGTATTTACAGTAAGGTGTAATTAACTCAAAAGTTTATAAAAAAATATAATACGGTATTTTAATAAATAATTCTAATATTATAGTATATGCAAAATTTTCGGGGGAAAATATATCAACCCATTGTAATATTTTATTTTTTTTTCAAACATACAATCTGTAATTATTTATTTAAAATGAACATGTGGGAGGGTATACATTTTTTTTTGTCTTAATACACATGGAAAAAGCAGCCACCAAATGATAAAGCTTTATGTGTTAACTAGACTTGACTGATTAGGATTAGTTAAAATTTTTCTGTGTTAGAATTTTAAATCTCTACACCAAATTGTAAAACTAAAAGTAAAATCAATTATTTTATAACTATATCAAAAAATATATCATTAAATATACTTAGTAATTTAACCTGACAGAGCACCACTGTTCAGAATCATTTTTAAATACAATTATATAGTATCATTGAATTAAAATTTAACCCTTTGGATACCAATTTAAAATTCTTTTAATTGATAATACAAAATTATTAAATCAAAAATACACATTTTGGTGGTACGAGTGGTACTATCTATAAATTAATAAGTCAAATAACCGTAGTAAAGTCGAAAAATAACCATTGGACATTTACCAACATTATTCAAAAGTATTATAATCAATGCTCAAAAGAAACTATAAAATATTTACTGCCTTACTGGAATATGTAAACATTTTTTGGTACATAAGCCAACCAATAATATTCCAAGGGTTAATACACTCATTACAGTGATTCATTCCGAGTTACTCGTTATCTAATGTACCTAAAGCAAAGCGATACACACTTGCCTACCTTTTTAATTACAAAAATATTTCATACTTGACGAATTCAGAAAAAAATTTGAATTTATAACAAAAAATATTGTATTTTTAATTAAAACAATTTACGAGGAACCTTATATTAATTTTCAAGCTTTTTTACTGACGAATAAATTCATTTTATCGCGTATAATTATTGCATACATTAAAATAAGATTAAAATAAGTCAAATCTTTAAAATTACTATAAATAGTACAAAAAGAACCAATTTATTTTGAAATGTATATCATATTTAGATATTAAGATGTCTCTGCCCAGATCACAGGTGTCTGAGAACTATATAAGTTATTTCCGACAGCCAAAAAGCAAGATATTTTATTTTTGTACTCATTATGTTCTAATCACAATTAATTTTCACTTTTGAATTCAGTTATTAGAATAAAAATTAAATTAAATACCTACTTATAAAACGTTACGTAAAATATCGTTTTAATAAAACAGTTTTTATTAATGGCTGTGTTATACACCTACCTAAACAATTTCGTTGACTGTATAATTTATTCTGGTCAAATTAAAGACTAAATGAATACTTGAAAATTCGTTACCATCATATTGCTAAAACAAAAAAATTCCATAGTTGTTAGTAAACGCATTTGTTTATCAAGTGTAATGATTTAAAAAGGAGATTGGAAATGAAGGGGTAATATTTATCAGAGATTATTGATTATACACCTTTAGATCAATCATAAAATCATTACATTACCTTTCTTCTCTTGGCAATGACTTCTTTCTGAATGTGGAATAAGGTGACCAGTGCACGTTGAATAAATGTAAGACTTTTTTCACTTAAATACACTTATTATCTTTATTATAGTTTTTCTTTAACACTATTTAATAGATTTAACTTTAACATAAATATAAAATTTATTTTAACACTAACACGTCTTTTTGCATATCTGATCTGCGTAGTCTTTTACACTCGCTTGTGATCATTTATACAAAAAGACTGGAAGAGTACTCCGCCTTGACCGTTGGTGACCGGCCCTCTTATATAGTGTGTCTTGTGTGTGTGTTTTGTCTGACTATAGGTCATTTTATTGTTTTACATTATTATCTTAATAGATGACTTATAGCTAAAGGTTATTAAATATTTGATATTTGTCATATTGATAAAATACTTATAGTTAAAGGTCATAATTTT